AGTGGCTACTCCTGGCCACCGCAGCCTCAACCTGCTGGGCTCCGGCGATCCTTCCACCTCAGCCTTCCGAGTAGCCGGAATTACAGGCACGCGCTACCACACCCAGCTAATTTTTTGATTTATTGTAGAGATGAGGTCTCGCCTGCCCAGGCGGGTCTCGAACCCCCGGGCTCGGGCAATCCACTCACCTCAGCCTCCCAAGGCACGGGATTACAGGCTGAGCCACTGAGCCCGGCTCTTTTTTTTAAGTATATATTTCATTTTAGAGTTGTGGGGTACAAGTGAGAATTTACTACATAAGTTGCATTCAGGTGAAGTTTGGGCTTGCAGCTCCCCCCTTCCCCCAACCCTCCTTCCCCTGGCAGTGTCCAGCGTCCCCCGCTCCTACCCTTGTGCTCCTGTGGCCAGTTATCAGGGCTTGCTTATGAGTGAGAACATGTGGTATTCAGTTCATTTCTGTGATAGTTCACTTAATAAGATGGTTTTCGGCTGCATCCATGCTGCTACAAAGGCCAGGCTGGTCTTGAATTCCTGGGCTCAAGCTAGGAGCCCAGAGTGCTGGGATTACAGGCATGAGCCACCTTGCCCAGCAGGAGAGCAGATAGTTTCAAGCAAACGTTATCCCTGATTTTAGTTCTTTTCCACTGTTGCTGGTTATAGTTTCTGATACCCACGGATATTGCTATTTGAACTTAGCCAGAGTCAGGGGTTCTACAGAAACTCCCCAAGTTATGAAAACTGGCATACCCCTGTTAGGCTTCCCCTCTGAACATCCAGAGGGAAAATTGGTACCCAGAGGAAGATACGAAGAAGCCTGTCTGACCACTGCCTGCCAGCTGCTCGCCTCTCCAGGCTTTCTGCACCCTGAGCTTCAGCCCCGTTGGGCATCCCACACACCCTGTGCTGTTTGGCTTCAGCACCTTTGCTGCGGCAGTCCTGTCCCCTCGTGAGCCCCACCTGTCCCTTTCCTTTTGTCAGAACTTGTCCTACAGTCAAGACCTACCTCAGAATAACACTTTTTTTCTTAACCATCTTCCTGAGTTCTCTCACTCTTTGCTCATCTCTTCCTTTGCTAACCTCCCTTAAAGTTCTGTGAGTGCTGTACAACCCTCACCATAATCTGAGTTAGATCTCCTTGCTGACTGTGCGCTCTTGAGATGGAAACAAGGGAATGTCGAACATAGATCTAGGCCCCATTTACACGTTAGCCTCATCTTTGAAGGGATTGTTGTAGAATCATACGTCTTTTTTTTTTTTTTGAGTCAGAGTCTCACTGTCATCCATGCTAGAGTGTAGTGGCATGTTTACAGCCACCTCAGCCTCAACCTCCTGGGCTCAGGTGATCCTTCTGTCTCAGCCTTCCAAGTGGCAGGAACTACAGGTGCATGCCACCATGCTCAGCTAATTAATTTTTTTGATTTAGTGTAGAGATGAGGTCTCACCAAGTTGCCCAGGCTGGTCTCGAACCCCTGGGCTCAGGCAGTCTTCTCACTCCTGCCTCCCAAAGTGCTGGGATTACAAGCATGAGCCACTGTGCCTGGCAAATTTTTTTATTTTAACAGCTTTGGGGGATATAAATTGTGTCGGTCTGGGCTTTAAGTGTACTTTCAATCCCTACCTGTATCCATTTTACCTGATGGGTGATTTTTTTGTGTGTACCTCCACCCCTTCCTCCTGTCCTTCTTCTGAATCACTAGTGTACATTATACCATTCTCTGTGTCTTTGCATATCCTTACTTTAGCTCCCACTTATAAGTAAGAACATACGGTGTTTGGCTTACTTTTTTTGAGTTACTTTACTTAGAGTGATGTTCTCTGGTTCCATTCAAGTTGCTGCAAAAGACATTATTTCACTCTTTTTGATAGCTGAATAGTATAGAATTATACTTCTTTTGTTGCATTATTTTTGTACTACAACTTGAGGAATTTTCTAGCAGTCATCATTTCATATTTCAGCTCAGTTATTTTACCTGTTTCTATAAATTTGTATAATACGATTTCTTTTTTTTTTTTTTTGAGTTGGGG